GCTTGTCAGGTTTTTTTCTTGAAGGTCTAAAAAAATTCTTACACTTACCCCCCCCCCCCCCACCCAACTTTCTATTAGCTTCCGACGCCAATGAAATCCTATTTCGGGGGCGGGGTTGGTTTTGAGTTAGATTCAAATTCTTCTATAGAATCAAATTTAAATTTTCTTCCTACCGTACGTACTACATTTACTTACTTGACCCTTACTCTTACAAAATGTGGGTCGGCCTTTAAATGGACATATTCAGTATAGTATAAAGTTATGTCTGAAAAAAAAGAAGCTGCTTTTCCTGTGTGCCCAGAGAAAATAAATATGGAGTTTCCATCATTGGATCGGGAGATCGGATCCGGCCTTCAGAAGTTCGATTGATAAAGTACTAAGGTCTATTGAAGAATCTCAAATAACCCGACCCGGGTTTGCTTACCTAGTTTTACCAACACTCGTAGCGAACACCACGCCACCTAGCGTTATAATGCCGCACTAAATTTTGACGGTTTGACAACTTCCATTCGTCTTCATTGAATATACTTCATTGTTAGCGTAATTGAATTAACATTCGTAGTAGAGATAATGCTAATAATTTATTAAAAAAACTGTTTAAGTTAAAAAGAAGGTAGAATGAATTTACAAGAATAAAGCAACATAGAAGTAAAGACAAAATGAAGAATGATAAAGGTCAAAGTGAAATGTAATAAAGACGAATATGAAAACAATAAAGTGACATATAATTACAATAACAACAAAGCATAAAGAAGTAGGCAGAATAAGAATAAAAGCAAGATACATAGACTTTTGGCGGTAATTCCCTTCCATAGAAGAGACCTTTCCAAAAATACTAAATGATTTTTGACCCCGTGAACTTGAAGTTTGACATACTTTTCAAAAACTTAAACATTAATTTAAATTGGTCATACTTTTGAAAGAGAAAGGATAGGGCTTTCATATTGCAAATATTTATTACCTGTGATAAGGCATTTTCAAATATACTATGATTGTTGACCCTGTGACCTTGACATTTGACCCACCTTTAAAAAATGTTATATTTCTTATAACTATTGATGGAGTAGAAAAAAGAGGTTTCATATTGACATGTGCATTACCTGTGACAAGATGTTTCCGAGCATGCTATGATTTTTTACCTTTTGACCTTGAATTTCATGTTTGACCTATTTTTCTTTTAATTCAAACTTTGGTCATTACTTTTAAATGATATGATATGGCATTCATATTTGATACCAAATGCCATAAATAATGACATCATTAATAATGAACTTGAAGTTTGACATACTTTTCAAAAACTTAAACGTCATACTTTTGAAAGAGAAAGGATAGGGCTTTCATATTGCAAATATTTATTACCTGTGACTAGGTATTTTCAAATATACAATGAATCGGATTGAAGTGGTAAAATTTTCCGTTCAAATGGAACGTTTTGAGCTATCTTTAGAATGTTGTTTGTAGGATGACACGCCCATTTCTTAAAAAATGAATAAAACAGTCAATTTGTTTATTCGAATACCTGTAGAACAGGTTTTCCATAAATATAATAGCCAATCAAATTGACAGTCTAAATAAACACTGAGTAAACATGTGTTCGACCGAAACATGTGCTCTGGTAAGTTCAACAGACATGATAAATTCAGAAATATCCAAATATTCGTTGCAATTTGTGTTTTACAGAAGCGGGGAGTCTCTAACTCTCCCTTCTCAGGTATCTGTCCTGGCCCGAAAGGGCCGGGTAACCCGTTGAACCTCCTTCGTGCTAGGGATTGGGGGGTGTAATTACCCCCATGAACGAGGAATTCCCAGTAAGCGCGAGTCACAAGCTCGCGTTGATTACGTCCCTGCCCTTTGTACACACCGCCCGTCGCTACTACCGATTGGATGGTTTAGTGATCTTTTTAAAGCTTCATTTCAGTAACTCATGTTGCTTGTCGCGAAGAGTGGGGTGTCCTAAAACATAACGACGAATATTTCTTTCTCATTTCTAAAAAATATGGGCTTGTCATTATGTTATAATTGACGTTCAAAACATGACTCAGAACGTTTCATCCAAACGGAAAATTTTACCACTTCAATGCGCTTCATATTGTACTACAGTGAGGTTGCCGATATCGAATCACTTAGTAAATTTGCTTGGATATTTCGTACCTGAGTTTGAGTTAAATTCATTTTACAACATTGTTTGGTGGTACTATGTTTTACTTATAACATCATATATATTTTCCCAATAACCACTAATTTAATAAAGAATTATCGCTATACTTGTATGAATGATGTTTTATCCTTTAGCGGATCATTTTCTCCATTACCGAATCACGTGACATAAAGCTGATTATTCTGGTTCGGGACCGTGTAAATTTAAAAATACCCTTCTTACGTAACGTTTTACTATGCCTTAAAATATCCCCCCCCCCAAAGTAGAAAAGCTAGGAATTGTTTGAGTTGTTTGCATCCGACAATTAATGCAAAAACAACAACACTGAACTCATATTGGGAAAGGAAATGACTAGTTGATATAAGAGGACGTAAACATGTGTATATGTGATGAACTTCAAACAGCCGAAGAATTAATTTTTGATTCAAGAATTGTACTCCTTGAATTTGAGTTACCACGCCCCCTCCCCATAATTTTGCCGCTATTTAGATAGAAAATATATCGCTAGATATATGATTGTGCCCCCTAAAAAAAAAACCGTCCGATGACTTTTTTTATGCTTGATTAATTAATTGTCAAGGAATTTTGCTGGTTGATAGTGCCTCCTCAACTGAAAATGTATGGCTCTGCACCCCTCCCCCACCAACTGAAATTACTTCCTTCGAGCCTGGCTTCAGAGATACCTAAAGCTGAAAGGAACAATTATATTTCCAAAATGTCGAGTCCCAACACCTAAAATTTCCTCCAATGGTAGACATCTTCTGTTGTTTTTTTTAAATTGTAACTGGTGTGCAAAAAACCGCATACGAAAAATTATAATTTGGGCAGGATCCCTGCATCTCATATATCTTGAAACAGCGATTCGTTATTGGAAACCTAAATACCCCCAACTTTAAAGCGAATACTATTAATTTCTGATTTAGAAATTGTATGACGCTTTCAGTGCTTTTAGACACATAATTGTCCCCCGCTTGAAAAGTGGGGGATATTAATTTGGGTTTGTCCGTCCGTCCGTCCGTCCGTCCGTCCGTCCGTCTTTCTGTCTGTAACGCTTTCGTTTCCACACGATATCTCGAGAACCCTTTGAGCTTTTGCAATGAAATTTAGCATAGCAACTCCCTATGGACTAAAGAAGACCCCTATTGATTTTGAGGTCAAAAGGTCAAAGGTCATAAATAAGCAAATTCTGTCTGTTAAAACACTTTTGTTTCCACATGATATCTGTAGAACCATTTGAGCTATTGCAATGAAATTTTATATAACAACTCCCTGTGGCCTAATGAAGACCCCTATTGATTTTGAGGTCAAAAGGTCAAAGTTCAAGGTCGTAAATTTACACATTCTGTCTGTGTGTAATACTATCATTTCCGGGCGATATTTCAAGAAGATTTTGAGCTTATGTAATGTAATTTTATACCAAAACTCCCTAGGACGTCTCTCGCCCCTCTCAAAGTGCCCCGCCCCGTTTGTTTTATCAGTATTTATAGTATTACATGTCGCTATTTTTAGCGCAGGGGCATGAGGAGAGTTATTGCGTATAAAACAGGTTCTCGGCGGACTTTATGTTCTTATTACATCTATTAGAACTGTTTAATAAAGGCTAAATAAATCAAACACCATGGATTGTGTAAAATTTTGAGAATACCGAACATGAAAACATGAATATATACATGTATGTGACTTCAGTTCTACATATACTTCACACCGCGTAAAGCGATTCCGTGGTCCTGTGGTTATGTCTCTCGCTTCAAATGCGAGAGGTCCCGGGATCAAATCTCGGTCGATCTTTTCTTTTTTTCTTTTTTTAAATACTTTTTTTTTTACTAAATGGTAGTATTCAGCATGTGAAATGAAAAATTTATGAGGTTATAAAATCATCATTACAGTGTGATAAACATTCCATATAAAAAAAATCTTCTATACACATAATAAAGAATAAGCAATCAAATCTTTATATGCATATTGACATACATGTATTTTATTTGCTTCAGTATACATCTGTACATGTATACATTTAATAATTCTACAAATTCAGTCAGGGGGAGCCGACTTTTTCCCTAAGCGGGGGACACGAATTCTCTGAATTAGCTTGTTTTATTAAGCATCTGCACCAAATTTGTTTACCTAGAATGTACGATTCACTTTGGAGCGGTACCGAAAAGTGAAAGTAGTCTGCTTGCTTGTACGCTTCTGGTCTGCGTCACAAAAAAGCTTGTTCATGTTTATTTAAAAATTATTACATTGAACAAGTTGAATTTAATAATTTCAAGATAAATGATAAAAGCAAGAATAATTCAGCATGACAGGGTAGGTTAAGCTAAGTATTGGACTTTGATAAGAAAAATACAGAATTTTCATCTGAAAGTGATTCGTTAACGGGTGCGATTCGTTATTGGCAACCTCACTGTATGATTGTTGACCCTGTGACCTTGACATTTGACCTACCTTTAAAAAAATGCTATATTTCCTTAAATAATGACATCATATCCACAAAGCTGGGGACAACTATACTTTGAATTTGCTGCTTGTTAAATTAAAGGTCAAAAGTTTTGTAAAATTTTGCAAAAATTGGTTACACTCTGAGGTCAAAAGTGTTGGTAGCCAATGAGAGGTCTTGTCACAAGAATCACAATTGTGAAATATATGAAAAACCATTGCTCCAACCAATCAAGAGATGTGGGAAAGGTTATAGTTTTTGTAGACACAAAGACGAACAGATCAAAACCTATGCATGCTACTTTCCATCCTGAAAGATAAACCTAATTTAGAGCTCCTTAGTTCACATTAGGCTATATATGAACCCCTGCCCTTCTCAGCAATCCTAAGACATGGAAAACACTAATTATAGTGGCAGATATATTTTATTTAAAAAATAACATATACATTGTACATTTTATTAACAATATAATTATTTTAATATCATAACATGGCAATAAAAAGATTGATTATTTGCACTATTACACTTTTATATAGTGTGTGTGATACATAAATAAATTTAGCATCATATTGGGGTCTGTAAAAATTTAAATCACAATTTTTCTCTGAATAAATATGAAACTTGAAAAAGCTATAAAAATAACACTGAAAATGGAGAATGTTTTCACTAATATTTTGGACTACAGGTATTGTTGACAAATGACAAGATGGCCAATGCATCACTTCCTGTTTGAAAGAGATTCTGTTTAACATTGAAATGAACCTATTTTTCTGATGCTAAAAATACACAGATGTACACGTGTAATAAATCATTTTCATCATGTCTGTTTGACAAAACTGTGAGACTCAAGTTTAAGCATGTCACTATCTCATGAATGTCCAAGCTATAAATGAAAATGTACTTTATTTGCCTCAAATGGAAATGAAATGATCATTACTTTCTCAAGTATTATTCTGGATACATAGTATTCACACTCACAAAGCAAACAAGAAATATTTGTCAACTTTTTGTATTCCATAACAGTTGATATATTTATATTATAACCCATATGTTACATAATATATGTTTTGCAAAAATTAAGCATAATTATATTTGTGTGATAATACTGTTATATTCATTTACACAATATATGGAAATCAAAAAAATAATAAAATCTATGTACAAATATTTCCTCCTCATTCAGTAAAAAAGCCATTTCCATTATTTGATATTTGTGGCAGTAAAAATATTGTAACAATCTGACCACAGTGACTACGTACATCTCTTTTTTGTTCAGTTTGATATTTAAAAAAAAATATAAAGTATATCACAGAGTCATACAGCTCTTCTTCATTTCATCGATTCATAACAGCATTAAAACTGCTAAGAATTTTGATATTTGTATTGAAGCAAGGTAATAAACCAATATGGTCTTGAATATATTTTTCACCAAGCTTTGACAATTTAAAGAGATCATGTGACATGAATCATGTGACTCATTCGCCCACAGCTATTGGTGGTGTTGACCTTGTTGTAGTCTGGGTACTGATCACACCTGTTCAAACTGGGCCTTCCGACTGCTGAGATTATTGTCTCTCGGACTCGTAGGTGGGCTCAGTGTTCCCCCTCTTGATTTCCTGTCAAAAATGAACATGAAAAGTCAGCTTGTTAAGATTACAAAAATTAATGATAACATTTTTTTCAGGCAAATGATTAGAAAATTATTAAGAAAATTTACTTCTTTATGAGTTTCATATTTACAAATTAAAGGAAAATCAGTTTCCTGCTAATTAATCAAATTTTGCAAAAATTAATTTTCGCAGCTATATAAACTTAGGACAAATATATCAATCACTGCATATATATCAGAAAATAAAATGACAGTTACAACTTAATCAAACAAGTATTCATAGTTGTAATTGAAAAATTGTAATAAACTTTATTTCCCCATAGAACTTACTTTAGTTCCTCCTCTCTCTCCCTCATCTCCCGCAGTTCTTTCTCGATTTTGGACTCGGCCTGATTTCTAGATTCCCTGTATGAAAAAGAGGCTCCACCAGTTTTGACAGTTGGCCTTTTGTACTTGACTGGCTCTTCCTTGCTGATTTGTGGGGACATCTTTGGGGGTTCCACATCACCGTTTTCGGAGGGGGTGTTTGATGAACTTGGACTATCCCCAGGGAGGGGAAGGCTTGATGTACTTTTCCTTGTTACAAAATTTCTTTTCACTGGTCCTTCATTTTTAGGAATGCCAGCAACTTCTGCATATTTTAATGTCCCTATGTGTTCCTCAGAAGTTGAGATAATCTTTCCCTCATCTCTAAGCTTGTGTTCCCTTTCTTTCTGTTTTAAAATTTCGTTTTGTAGCCGTGATGTTGCAAAGTTTCTCATGGACTTTGTTCCTTCTGCAGTGTTGACCTTGTTTCTGTAGTTATATGACACAGGTTCTTCATTCACTGAAGACTTTTCCGAGACATCGTCCCCTGCTGGTTTGACGACTTCAGAAAGTAATGGCAGTCCTTTCTGACGCCTCAGTTCATTTTCCCTTTCTCTTGCTATTCTGATTTCACGTTCAATAGGAGTTTCCTTCCTTTCCACTGGTTTGGAGTCTGTTTCATCCTCTTCTGCCGAGTCTGCAATGGGCTGAACACGAACTGAGCGTGAAGGGGTGTGACTAGAAACTTTGGGGGATTGAACACTTGGAGATAGTTGCCATGTCTTTTTCACAGTTTCTTGTGTAGGGGTTTTGGGTGGTGGTGGTTGTTTGTTGGTTGCTTCAGGAGCAGGACTAGGCTTGCTGCCTCCATGCATTCGCTCTCTCATCCTACGAATTTCCTCCTCCCTTTCTTTTGCCTCGCGTAGTTCCTTTGCAATAAGACTCTCTCCTTCATGATGAAAAGGTTCCTGAATTGCCTCTTCATATGTGACTTGCTTACTGTTTGTCACTGGTGCCTCCATTTTTTCTGGTTCTTGTGAAACTGGTTCTACCTTTTCCGGTTCTGGTTCCTTTACTTCTGGCTCTTTATTCAGAGAGTGTCTTTTGGCGATTTCCTCCTCTCGTTCCTTCTGGAGCCGAATTTCCTTGGCAATGAGACTCTCTCTACTGCTATCTGGGTTCTCTTCAACCTGTGGAAAAAAATATTCAGTCCTTGTAAAAACTGTGTAACATGTGTGAGTTGCCAATAAAATCAATCACGAACACAAAGCTTCATTCAAGGTATATTGATAAAGAATAAGACGGCTAATGCAATACTTAAATAAAACCCATATATCATCTAATGCACATATAACATTATGTAGGACTTTTTGTTGTCATTAAAACAAAAAATTCTTATTCTTTTAGGTTTCTATTTATAACTCTTAAATGATGCAGGAGTCTTAGAACAATTGAGAACTTCTTATATTGAATTTTTTTAAATTTCATAATATTAATCTGCATCAGTGGTTATTTAACAATTTATTTTAACATGCTTTCTCACTGGTAAAAAACATCACATTTTAAAATTTTTCACCTACCCGGTAAAAGAGTAATCTTTAATGATATCGGGTGAGGTAAAAGCTGTAAACTTTCAGTGTATTTCGTTATATACCCAACAAATACTTTATCCGACTTCATTATTCACACAAACCTGGGTTGGGCTCAAATCCCAGCCAAGATTTTATTGAACAGGTATGTATGTCATAAATTTCACTGGATGCCAATACTTTGTCTCAAATTGTTCAATGACACATATCAAGTCAAGGTAAAAATTTGTGTAGGATGGCTGATTTTTCTTTATCAGAATTTTAAGTAACCAGGCGTTTAGTGCAACTGCTGTAGACTTATCCATTTACTAGTTTATTTTCATCTGTGGTGATTTATCAAACAGTTTTGCAATTGCACAAACAAGTCACCCACGCAGTAATTTTTTAACTTATGATTCCATCAAATTTTAAATGCATTTTTAAAACCCCCTTTTTTGACTACTGGGTATTTTAACATACATTTATGAGCTTAATCTACAAGTTAGTGGTCGTTTTAAATTTTTCCACATTAATAATTTATAGTAACACATATATTATAATGCATTATTCATAATATTAAAGTATTTCCTTTTATATTCCTTTATATTCAGCGCTAAAAAAAACTTTTCCATTCTACACAGCTACACAATCATGCACCTTACGAATGTTCAATTAATATAGGATTAGTAACCTGTGATCTATATGTAATTTAACTGTGTTTTGACCCTAACTGACCTGAGGGGTGACAGCCGGCGGGGCTTTTGTTGTCAGTGCCTCCTCTCTCTCCTTCTGCTCCTCTATTTCCTGTTGAATCAATGTCTCCCGTTTCTGAAGCTCGGATCCCCGATCAGCCTCTGTCATCTCGTGGTACATTGTTTTGAACTCCGTGTTGTTGTTTTCATTTTCAAACATTTTCGTATTGACCTGATTTTTTGAGGCATTCTGTCGTTTGGCAAGTTCCATGCGTTCTTCTTGTTCTTTGCGCAGCATCTCCTCTCTTTCATTTGCCAGACGAATTTCACGTTCAATTGCACTTTCATTTGCGTAAGGGTCTTCCTCCATTTTGAATGGTTTTCTTGGCTGTGTGTCTTCGACTTCTGGTTGAGGAATCACTTTGGAAGACGGATTGGGTTTATACGGAAGTTTCACCTCCCAGTGTTTGACTGGTGTGCTCGATTTCTTGGGAGTTACCTTCGCGGGACTTGGCTCAGATTTGCTAGAACTCTGTAGGATGGTCTCCCACTGTTTCCTGGTGGAGTTTAAGTCTGCTATGGACTCCCTGTTTACAGTGTCTGTATTTCCATCCTCTTGTACAACATTCTGACTATAAAGGTCTACTTTGGGAGGTACTTCATCAAAGTTTATTGGTGTACCTTTGGACTTCACTGGTGAAGGAAGATCTTTCTGGTCATTTGCCTCTAACACAACACTGCTTTTGACGTCTGCTTGCTTACTCTCTGAAACACAAAATTTTATTCATTAACCTTCCAATAAAAACCTCAAATTTTAACCTACTTCAAGGGTAACTTTTGAAAAAAAAAGCACTGATCACTGGCAGATTGTCAGTTCATATATTTTTCCATCAGCGATGCATGCCTACTTTGTTTTACCCTACAAGATCTAAAACAAATCAATAAAATCCCAGGCCACCTTTCCCAAGACAAATAGAAGCAGACGTTCAAACAGGTAACACTATCTAACATTTAAGTACAACTTTGATTCAATTCAGGGTAACTGTACAACACAGAGACATACCATTAAAATTCTTCAGTCAAATTAAACGCCTTTTTTAATCCTCAAATTAACACAGTCTGGTAAGTTAATCCCAAAGTTTTCGTAGAAGATTTTTAACGTAATCTAACAACCTGTACATGTATATCCTCTTTCCTCAAAGTAAAAAAAGAATGTGACTCAGACACATTAATTACACGCAAGTACACCTGAAGGTTTAAATCACAATGTCATCAAATGAAAAATAAAAAAAAAAATGAATCTTTAATACCTGTCAGAGATATATATGCACAAGCAAAGCACACAATACTTCACCAATGACACCTCCGGCAAATTATGATTGCACTAAAACAGTAATGGCGCTTGTCTTTTAATTGAATGCAAAATTGAGGACAGTGACGTAAATGGGGGTGACCTGTTCGGGGCGGTGTTATAATGTTTACCTACCTGATGGGATATCCGTCTGACAGACACAAAGATAAGAAGTCTACTTATAGCTCAGCTCTCAAACATGCATTTTAAAAAATGGGCAAAACTTTTTAAGACCTAGCTGATCCATGTCACTTGGGTACGATCTGCATGTTCTTTTTTAATATTCATACTCGGACAATTAATAATTCACTCAACCCATATATATCCTTCTTTAAGAAATTTTCAATATTTATTTAGTTGTATTTAAATTCTTGTTATATTCTATCTTTTAATTACATATAAGAAGAATGAAATTCTTTGAAAAATTAAATGCCTCAATTGTTTACTTTCTATTCAAACCAAATGGTTTAAAAGTAGAATAACTAGATGTTACAGCCTTTTTTTCCATTGATGGATCATTGAAAACACTTTTTTTTTCAGAGGGCCTGGCACTTCTATACTGAGTATTTACCTTACCTGTTTCAGGAATATGAAGAATAAGAGTCGCATTGGATGAAAAGGTTTCAATGTATGCCATTTTGTAATATTAACAATAAAATCTCTCCAAATATTTGATCATAAATCAATTCCTCATTCAACTGCAATCTCCTTTGAATTTCATACTGTTAAGCACTTAAACAGAAAATATTCCTCAGCCAGAAAAATTCAGCGAAAATATGAAGTCGGCAAAACGGGTGTGTTGTCTTAAAATTGATATGTAAGCAGGTGAATTTCACTCAATAATCTCCCTCTTCAAGTCAAGTATATATTGGTAGCTATAGACCCTGTATCTCTCTGCCTGATGCACCTGGTCTGAAATGGTTCAAACTTTTCACTCTGATCTAGATAAGCCTCACCCTCATGTTGGGGCATTGTTTGTTTCGTTAATCTGCCCAGGTAAAATTAATTATGTAGGTACATCTCTGACAATTCAGGAAATATTGTCTAGAAAGGGTGAAAAAATGAATGTCAACCCTTCTGATAACGACGACAGGCCTGGAGGTTACATCTGGCCTTAGTGGCTTGCCTTAGCCCCTACAACTTGCATGACAACCAACACAAAAGCCAAAAATCTTGCCCTTTATATAAAGTAACGCAACATATATCATACTGCATATGCAGAGAATTTTTTAAAGTAAGAAGTCATATCAGATCACAGTTTGATATTCAGAGAAAGTGAAAATGATACCAGACCTTTATTTTACATCTTTCTATCTTATTCTAAAAAAGAATCCCCCATAAACAGAATAATAAAAACACATACATGTACTATATTTATGCAGTAAATGCTGTTTCTTACATATATGAATATCATCTCATTTATTAAATCTGCCTTGAGTGTGGGCAGCGAGCGTTTTCCCTAAGACAAAGTTTATAATATACATCCTACATGTCTTGATTTGTCTACAGATTAAAACATTTATTTCTCTAATCTCTGATCAGGCCTTCATTCATGTTCACTTGTCATAAATTTTAGGGTATTTAGACTTTCTGATTATTTAAAAACCCCTCAAGACTGACTATAAATTAAATTTCCACGCATATCTCTACTGGTTCAGATGAAGAGATAATGAATTTCTAGATATATATATACCGTAAACTTTTGTAGGTATACAATGACACTTTATTGCTCAACGCTCAATTACAACTCTTGCTTTCTATGGCAGATATTAATTCTATGAAAAATTTATTCAGAGGATTATATATCTGTAAATTTCATAAGAGCAGTTATAGCATTCTCCCCCATGGTGTTCATATGAAAAGCATGATAATTATCTTTTTTTTAGTTTTTGAAAGTTGACGAAAAATGACTTCTTTAAACCATCAGAAGTTAAACAAAATAAGAGACTTAGAGTCACTCTTGCAAAAATGTATACCAATACTTTTTACTATGTAAAGGCCTTTTTAACAATCTTTTTGCTAAAAGAAAAATGAAAATTTTACCAAACTTAAAAACTTTCACAACATTAAAGTGCAATGTACATGAACAAGGGTACCATAAGAGCTTGCAGAGCATTCCACATTGATTCAAATGCAAACTAGAGGTACTGTGAGCGATGAGCTCCACATTGATTCCCATATGGTTTTAACTGGTGAAATTATGTTTTCCTGTGGCCGGGAAACCCAAAATATGTTTCACACACAATGGCAATATGTAATAAAGATTCTGTGGAAGTTGCATCAAATTTCATTCAGTGGTATGAGAGGAGTTGCAAACAGACACAACTGCATTACTTTATTCCATCTAACTTTGTTGCGAGGGGATAATTATGTGTTTATAATAATAATAACAATACCCATATCAAATTAAAAATTATGTCACTTCTGTTTTGCACAGAATTTACTCACTCACTCACAAACAAACAGACACAATTGCATTACATTATTCCATCAAACTTATTACTTTGTGAATAAAACTAAATCTACAGTTATTTTAAGCAAGTAACTGATGATTTGAGACAGGCTACATACCATAAATGAGAAAGGGAGAAGACTGGGGATTGTCCATTAATTAATAATTAGTCTTTCCTGAACATCCAGACCCATATAGCTACTGGTATAAAAGTACGAACATACCCCTATATACCTTGATAAGATAAATCCCACATAACACAAATAGTTGACCTATCACTGAACAATTGTCCATCCACAACAATAAATTGAATCAGATAAGAATTCATCTATCTGTATATATACCTGTGATTTTAACTTTGCTTTCCTCAGCTACTGCCATGATCCTTAAACATGCAACTTCCAGTATAGATGCAGATATATGCACGATCAATACCTTAAATAAAGGTAGATCTGGGACTAGAATAATAATTACCAAAAGTAATTATGACAATAATGTTTTTTCCCCTCTCTCAGTTCCCAAACTGCAGTACGCTACAACACTAAAGTGACCAACTCCTTGACCAGCCTAGCAGTAGCTGGTGAAATCGAACTTCTGCATAAGTAACTAAGGCTTTACCTAATTATACCTGTATTTCTGTAAAATGCCAATTAACCTCACTTACCTTGTCAGCAACAATAATTGCCCCTTCTTAACGACTTGGCTCATTACCACTTAATTGTTTTCACTTTGTTCTTGTGTTTATTTAAGAGAAATAATTAAGACCTCCAAAATTTTCATTTCCTAACAAATTTGGGGGTTATCTGTATATTGAAATATTTGGATGCATTACACTACTAATTTTGTTGAGGGGGACTATAGAGGAGAATTTTAATCAAAGCACATCATAAATTGACGTTAATTTGAAAATAATTTCTAATTGACAAATAATTCTCTGGAAATAAATTGGAAGTATGATTAAACTCAAATCACATATTTACTTACAAATTAAGCATAGTGCAAATGTTTCAGCCTAGTATTTTTTGTTCCGTTACCCTTGAGGTTTAGGTATATCGACATCCAGGATTGGAATACTATAAGTGCCGTTTTTATGGTGTTGATCTTGGAAACAGAGTTACGTCCATTATCTCACCTGTTTTCTGCACATAATATATCCGCATCCTGGCACTTCTTCACTCGCTGCCAACCACCGGTTTGGATATTGATCACAGAACAATTCTCATAACTAATGGCTCAATTTTACAATATTACACCACGTATGAATATGTTCCTGCACTTACAACACTAATTTATGAGATTACAGAGGCCAAAATCAACATTTGGACAAGTAGATTAATATCTCAGGTAATGTGATTAAACAAATTAAAAGATTAATACAGGTGTAGTACAGAAATGAAGGTAGATACTGGCTATATTATTTTCCTTATATGGACAAATAAACAAAACAATCTGGATATAATGACTCCTTAGATCCACAATTCCAGTGAATTGCAGTTAATTTTTGTTCCCTGTGTAATCACGTTACAAAGGTACGGCTAGTTTGTACCCGGCATCCTGCCAAAGTTCCTGTTTTATCTTGGGTCGCATAAAAGCCTTACACACCCTTCTATAGCTCCCATTCAGTCCGCTTATTTGGCATAAATTCGGCAACAAACATGGCTATTCAGTGAGGTGATAAGTCACTTAGAAACTGTCTCAGCAAAAGAGAATCCAATAATATACGACCATCCACCACCTGAATGCAGAAGTCCGCTTAGAATACCCACTAAACCCATATTACACACACAGGACTTTTCAAAGTTAAGTATATCTGCCTCAAAATCAATAGATGAAATCAATTCTTTCAAAACAATACCTTTTTTTTTTAACAAACTGTAACCCAACGTCACTTTTTTTTCTACAGCTTGGAATGCAGTTCTTTGAAATTAAAAACCTAATAGCAAAATCGTTAACGCATGCAGTATTATTAATTCCTCCAATGCATACAAGTGTGTAAACTTACGTGAACATTTTAATCAATACAAAACATCAGGCAACTATTTACATTGATGCCTGTAAATTTACCTGCAAAAGCCTTTAATTAATAATTAAAATTCCAAAGAACTAAATCAATTTCATGGAAGTATATACTTTTTTGGTCACCATGCATCTAAAAAAGCACATCAATAAAGATCAGTTAAAGCAACATGCCTAGGAAAACTAACCTGTTTGGCAAGATTCCTCAAAATGAATGGGAAGAAATGGGATTTTTTCTCTCTATATGTCAACCCCCTAGCAAGCAATGACCCAACTCTCCTCGACAAGACTGGCTTTTTTGTGTAGAGGATAATAAGACATGTGAAGTGATGGTTATCTAATGTCTATAACAGTTGACCATTTCAGTTTGTCAAAGACTTTAGCCCTCAGAAAATGGCCAAAGGAGTTTAAACAACTTGTTGATTTAATCACGTTTGTTGGTCAATTAGCACACAATAGTGTCATTGAAGGAATAAGACAAGGCCTGGACCTTAGTGTTTGATTCTTTACTTTTAACAACATTCCACTGCTTATCTGTTTTCATAATTTCAAGAATTAGACACTGATCGACTCAAATGATTTCACTGTTGTTGTCTGAATTACATAACTTAAATTCCTCTTTTTTAAAGAACCAACTCATAATAAGAATACTAGTCATTCATATTACCATTATACTCTTTTGTTCCTAAAACAAAATGATTGTAAAAATAATGTTCACACATTATTACTATATGTTATTGCATTAAATCACTTTGTGTTCCTAGATTTTAAACAGACAAAATGATTGTGTAAAAATAATGTTCACATATTATTACTGTATGCTATTGCATTAAATCACAATTGTTATGTCATTGTGCCAATCATATATCCAAAAAAAAATAACCAACCTTCAGTGTATACATTCAAGATTTTAAATAGAAAAGTTTTCATACATATTCATAAACACAAATGTGTAATCTGCAACACCTTAGAAAATGAAGAAAATCAAGAATAAAACTTAAGTTAAAAATCTTGACAATTAAAGTGACAATATTTTGTATTTTGAAAACAGACATATGAAGATGTAAATTAATTGTACAAACTGTATAAAGTTCAATTATCTCTCTCTATTTCAATACAGCACAAACATGATACATTTCAATTGTTATCTCTCTTTGAGGAAAAAATGAATCAGAAAAAAATACCATCAAATCTCTTAAAACACATAATGAAAGGCACAGTGCACTTAAAACCCCAGATAAAACAAAAAAAAAAAAACTACATCAAAATGTCTTACAGTGTTTATACATTTCAAAAAGTTGTCTTTCTTGCATATAAAATCCACACATTAATTTGAAAAAGCTTTTCATGACATAATTCATAAACACAAAACAGATAGATGGTGCTGACAAACTGTTCATCTCTAACACAACCAGGAAATGAAGAAAATGCACATCTAATAATGTGTCCTAAAACTTACAGTTTAGAAACTGTCCTTTATGAGGAGTTGCGCTGACCTCAAGGTGACAGTAGTGAAAAAAGCATTTCCTGGTAAGCACACTTCCTAAATACCTGACATTGTCAAATCCTTAATACAGGTTCTAAATCAGGAAAACAGGTTAGTAAATATTGTGTCCTAAATACCTGTATGGTCTGCACCTGAAGATCTCTATATTCAAGTGAAATGCCTAAGTTAAAAAGTGATCTAGCCACTGAATAAATTAATTGTACAAACTGTATAAAAGTTCAATTACTCTCTCTGTGTTAGAATCAAGATATTTAATAAATACAGCTCTTTACAAACATGCCAATCCTTTATATTCTGTATGGCCCTAAGAATTAATCAGCTGTGAAAATTGTGTCCTAAGGGTTATCTCTCTTTATGGTTGCGTACAGGTAGGTGATGAATCAAGTCAAAATAAATTCAAGGTATAAAGTAAAATATAAAAATATAAGTACTATAGATTTGAAAGTGCCCATCAATTCTTGTTCCATGGCACAGGTCAATGGATGTGAGTAATTTGCATTAAAACATCCCTGGGCATAGAAAAACAAGAAAGACTTCTTACCATCATTGGCTGAGACCACTGCAAACTCTGTGATGCCCCTCCTCTTGACCATGGACTGACTGATGACCGCCTTCCTCTCTCCGTCCACCTTCTGGAGGTGTTCGTCTGACATCTCCTTGGACGTGGATCGGATTGTCATCTTGGGGGGCTGATTCACAGTCTCTGAAAACTGCTGGGCCTTTTTAACAAAAACTTTGGTCTCTGTGTTAGGTACCTCTGTTACGTAGGATGAATGAGTCTGGTAGGAGACTTCAGAGGCAATGGGAACAAACTCTGGCTTGGCTTCTATCTTAGTAACACTGATCTCATCTGAGGGCAAGGACTCAGAAGTTGGCTCACTTTCGGCCAGAGTGACCTTGACCTGCTCCACAGTGTCAGAGATGACCTCGTCCTTGACATCCTCCAGGGTACTGCTGAGGCTGACCTGGTTGGAGTTGACCATGTCCTCGAAGGCTGAGTCTGCCTGAGATGTGGGGGACTGGACAGAGGTGCTGTGAGACAAAAGCTGTATATCCCCACTCTCTTCTATCTCACCATCCAGCAGGTTCATAGGAATATGGTGGTCAGTTTTGTCATCCCCTGATTCAAAAATACAGATTTCTTCCATTAAACATTTAACTTCAATATCTATTGCTATTTTACAAGTTGACTAGACACCTTTCATATCATTCATAATATGCAAGTCATTGAAATCCATCAATTTTATTTTACTATTTTTTTTAATATCGATGACAAAATATTATGGTATGTATAAAACCTTGATTTTATATTATCTAAAATAACCTGTTTTTCCAAACATCATAAATAATCAGAAATCATCTAGTTACGCTCTTAACTGGGCTCTAAATGACTTTTTTATGCTACCGTTCATCATAAAACTCTAATAATCATACATCACTGTCTACTTTCAGTTTTCCTGCCTTAACCTCACATAGCTTTCGTCCCAGTAATAATGAGCTTACCTGGAGTGAATGAGCCGTTCTGATTGAGAAGGTCAGATAAATCAGAATCAGCATCCGAGTCCACCTCCTTAAACTCTTTCTCTTCTTTCAAGCTGATCTCCAGGGATCCTTCCCTGGGTACTATTGAATCCACCTCAACAGACATTTTGGTAGAAATGGATCCTTCAATAAGATTGTCTTTATCACTAATGTCACTAAGCTCAGGCTGTCCAGAACTCTCTACCGCAACCTCTTCAGTTTTTAAAATTTCCTCTTCTATGACAGGAGCAGAAGTTTCAGTGACTTTGACTTCCTGTGCTATCACCACAGCTTCTTCTCCAATGGAAGCAGTGTCCGGTTGTTTGGGTAGAAGTGGAGGTGGTGCAGAATTTGGCAGATCTGGGGGAATCGAGTCTATACTACACAAAGATACCGTGTCTGGATTGGGAATTTCAATATGTTCTTTAGAGAAAGACACAGCTTTGCTTGGGGCTTCCTTTTCTTCAGAAACTTCTGGAACAATTTCAATGAGTTTGATATCTAAATGATTCACAAGTATACTCTCCTTCTCATTGGGATTAAGTTCAGAGTTCAATGTTTCACCCTTTGTTTTATTTTCTATCACAGTAATGCATTCTTCACTTGCTCTTTCAGAGTTAAGTTGTTCAGATTCAGTTTTGGACACCTCTGGAATTACACCCTCTGGAATTTTTTCTAAAGTTACACTTTCTGGAGAACAAGAGACATTAGATTCTACAGCAGACTCAAAGACTTCTTCTGCAGGAGCAGATTCGACAGGTTTCTCCTTCTGATCTTCGCTGAAGAGAAAAGATGACCTTGGAGACCCAGGGTTGTTGTTTTCTGTAGTCTTTGGGGATGCAGGTTCTTCACCGCTGCTGGATTTCTTTCTTCTTGGAGGTCTCTCTGGATTTCCTGCTCCAGATGGTACCGGGATTCTAGATTCTTTACTTGGAGAACAGGGCGGAGGGGGAGCTCGGGTTTTCTTTGTAGAAGCTAGGCGAGTGGGACTGGTGGAAGTTGAGGTCTCGGTTTCTGGACAAGTTCTAGATTTGGGTTCAGGTTTATCACTCTTTAAAGGCGAGGACAGTGGCCTGTCAGGGGCCCTGGATTTCTCGGTTCTGTTTTCGAGGTTTAGGGACCGACGGTTTAATCGCTTCTCCCTTGCTGCTTCACTATCTTCATTCTTCCTGTCTAGAACGTAACTTCTGCGTTTGGCTGTGTAATCTTTGTCGGCCGAGCTCTTGGATCGTCGTGGGAACTTTTGTTTCTCTCTCTGTTCCTCTTCCTCTTTTTCCTTTTTCCTGGCTAAATAGTCAGACGGGTTCCTCTGTAATGAGAAATTGTACCCAATTAAAGCAACATGCAGAAATAATATTTCCTATTACATGTACATAAATAGAACACTAATTTGTGTGATAATTTCAAAACAAAATCAGCTTACAAAGTTGTATAAATTAAGCATTATATCACAATATATTTTAAGCTTAGAGCAAATTTATATCCACTGAGATATCAAATATTCTTCTTGTCAAAATCAATGATACAAATGAAGGAAAAAAATCTATTTATCACAAAAAAGAACACAATTCTGCCTCAACATGTGTTACCAACCTATAAGATATATGCATCTATCAGAAATCACTAAAACGAAATCAAGTAAGAAAGGAATTTATTACTTCCTCCTATACGACTTCAACATTTAAATTTGTCACCTCATTTTTTACTCCTTATACCGCATGAAAAAAAAAAGAAAGAAAATGCCAAGACTTTTTTTTTTAATTTAGTTCATAATAAAATGCATTCAAAGTTATTGTGCTACCTGAATAGTGACATTACTTACTCAATACATAGATGGAATGCGTTATTGATTTGGAGGCTTTCTTTAAACTGATATAATAAAACTGGGGTGCGTTTGGCTAGGTCAACATACCTGGTCTTTCTTACTGGGTAACAAAAATCTCTATACACATATTTCAATACCTCTTCAAGACTTGACGAAACTTGCCCTTTTTCTTTCCACTGATTACAATATTAGAACAAAAGCTGACCAAATGTAATTTGAATTGTTAATTATCAAAATTTTGACCTTATGAATGCCATTTAAATTTTTTACAAACATCTTGACAAAGACTAAATTAGAATTACAAATATATGAATTCATTTTAAACTAATATGTGGCGTTTACCAACTTAGCCATGAAATTCGTCAAAAGAAGTGAAGTAAACCTACACGCACTATAATGACTTACCCGTGCTAAGAAATATAATGGTAAACGTAATCCGAATCAAATTCCTACCTATAGCTAGCTGCAAGCTATCTACCTGTGACAATGAATACACAGGGTGCTCTCCAAATTTATGATCTGGCAGGAATTCAGGGGAAGGATTGACATATACAACAATCAATACTCAAGCTATATCACCATTTTCTCAAAGATTTTTAAAAATTCTTGGAAAGGTAACGCTAACTCTCAAAAGGGAACTAATCACTGATTTATGGCTGTTGACAGATTTAGAATTTCCACATAAACAGGCGATATACATTTTTTAAAACCCCCTTAATTTCAAAAATTTAAGAATATCTTTATAACTGGTAGCTTACAAAACTTATGATAAAAAAATAATTCTTTTTCCTACTATTGAAAAAATAGACAAAGAAGAAAAAATAACATTTAAAATCCTCCTCTTCCACTAAATACTTACAGTACAGTTTACTGTGTATCAGCGGACAATGATTCACAGTTATTATTAAGAGATCATTGGATACTACAGAGCTAGTTACAGGGCTATTATACACCTAAGTAGGTGCAACTTTCCCTGTAATGCTTCGTAACCTCGGGTGCACAGCGATGATTAGGAATCAATCACAGATCGTCTGCCCCTTGTCAAATCAATAACCAGTCGTTTTATTACAGTCATTATTAGTCAACATCAAAGATAGGTTTATACTTAATTAAATGTCCTATAGACAATCAGACAGCTACTAGTTTACAAACAAATACATGTATTACTTTAACCATCATCATTTCAGGAAGACCAAAAGTACTTGCATCTGATATTTTTCTCTTAGTTAGAATGGTATGAGGATTTATCAGTCTAGATATTATTTAAGATTTAATCACCATATGAGGTGATATTTTCTTCTGCAGATTGACTCTTTTGATTGAACAGCAAAGCTATCAATGTACAAAATTCCTATGTATCCTATTGCCACAAAAATGGCATCTTTTCTTATAACTAGCACAATTCAAACACATGCATCTCCCAAATACATTAATTGTATATAAATAACAAAAAAGGTGAATGATTGAATTTGCTCAAAAATTTGAAATAAAAGTAAATTAATTTACAAAGTAAAGAAACAACCAGAGCCCCATGGTCCACAATGTTCACCTGAATATGGCCCTGTTGTTTAACGACAGAAGATTTTAAAAGGACTAATCATTGATGTCCTATTCTTGAGATTTTTTTACCTACATATTCCTCTGCAAAACTTTGATCACCCATTGTTGCCCTATTTTAAGCCTAGTGGTCAGGCACTGTAAAAACTTGTATCTACATTTTATAAAGGTTTCACATAAATTTACTTTTCTGGCCCAGTGGTGTTTTAAAGAAGATTTTTAAAAGATGCAACCCAAGTTTCATCAATTCTTATACTAATTAACTCCTTATAAAAGAGGGTGTAGCCCATCATTTGAACAAACCTTCAGCCAAGGATGCTTTGTGGCAAGTTGTGTTGACATTGGCTAAGTTATTCTGGAGACAGAGTAAAAAATATGGAAAGTTGCAGATAGATGAAAAGCAGAAAAAGTATTCAACAAAGTGAGATAATTAAAATGAAAGGAAGAATCACGAAAGGATGCAGTTCATTTTTAGGGAGATTTCTTTTTTTTAAACTAAAAAATCTGTTTCTTTTCATTTTGTTTTCCTTTTCTCTCTCCTTTCTAATACATGTAACACTTTGCATTGTCTCCTTTGCATTGTCCATATGAATCAAACAGCTATATACTACATATTAAATGCTGAAGAAAAATCCTATTTTGTGTTTCTCATTCATCTCTAGGGGAGGGAATATTCTCTCTCTTTCTCTCCAACCAAGCATGCTAATGAATAAATCTCTCCCTGTCCTACTTTTTAAATTCCATGTTTAGAAACAGGCACGGGTGAAAGATGTATTTGTTTAATGTTGATTTTACTTGTAAATTAGTTTTAAAGTAAACCAATCATGCAAAACTCCCTCTAGTCTTTTAACCCTAGCATTTCAATTAAACCCTCAATCAATCCCGTAATACACTACTCTACGCACTGCTTAGCGAAGCAATCAAATTCTTCACACAAGTCATCTGATATTCCGAAAGTATGTTATATATCCTGAATTGAACCGTTTGTTAAGTTTTTTTTTTGCTAAATAGGTCAATGAAAAAAATTATCTACCATCTGCTGCAAAATCTTCAAATTTTTACAAAATTAGGAAGAAGACATGACTCACAAAATCTTCAAAAGAGCTTACATCTTGAAAAAAAATCCTCCACATAATTTTCAAAGAATTTCTTTAAATATTGACAAAATTAAATCTATTTTTTGTAGCTGAATATGTCTAAGTACTGGAATCCTATTAAATGGAAAAGGGATCAAATGATGATACCCAGTCTAAACATAAATAATATTTTTAAAAATGTAATTTAAATTTAAGAAAAGCAAAAGAAATTGAGTTACCTTTAATTTGGTCAATCCTTTCAATACAGATAAAGCCATGTTTCTGTTTTTTCCCTAATTATATAACACAATTTAATCAACACATTTCCTTGCGAAAAAAATTTCCCAAAGTCCAAAAACGGTTGCTTCTTCCAAGTACTGTCAAAAAAAAAATCTCAGAAGGGGAGAGGCCAAGACTGAATTTTTACTTCTCTCAGTTAAATCATTCAACCGTGGAGCATTTGTAGGCATTGTATGGTATTGTTGTTATAAAGTTCAGATTGTTGACACTTCACGAAGCAATCGGGGCAGGGTACATGTAACTGTTCCTGTACAACAACGGCATGAAGGCGCTGGACATCAGAAACATAGGAACCTCAAAGACTACTCAAATCCCAATGTAAATTTACAAAACTGACCAGCGGTCAAGTTATGAAAGTTTAGAAATGATGTCAAATACTTCAATATCACTATGCATGTTATACTGAGCGACGTATGTGACAGCTATCTCAATGAAATATGATGCATCAGGAGCCCTTGGCTTACTTAACAGGTGTTTGGTCACTTTAATTGATCACTAACTCTTCTTAAATTACATTTTTTTTTTACTTACCTTGACGTTTACATGCAAATAATAAAAACAAATTAATTTTTTAACCTAATACTTCTTACCAGTGTCCTTAATGTGTTGTAGTTAAGGTGTTGAATTTACATAGGTTCTAAACAACCAAAAAAATACTATTGTCCCAAATATTTATATTCATTAGAATTTGAAATAAATTCAGATCGAAAAAACATATAATTACACAAGACACCTGATCTTGATGCTAACACTTAAATCTTTGTTTCCTTCAATGAAGGCTTTATGCATATGTTTTGCATTTTTAATTAGTTCATCTAAACATTTATATGAAGTTTTTTTTTGTTTGTTGACGTACAAAGCAAGAAGATGAATTACTTTGCAAGAGCTAGGCAATATATTCAAATCAATTTCTTCCCAATTTTATGTAAGATTTAAAGGACCAACACAAATGCAGTAACAAAATGCAACAAGAGAAGCAAAAGTACCCATATAATAGACATCAAAACTACATTTCCTGTTCTCAATGCAGAGTGCAACAAAAGTTATTGAATGATTATTAACGGGTTCATGTAAAGAATATGACAAAATCTTAAGAAATTGACCAATTATATTGTAAAAATTAGAGATTTTATTTGATGAAATATGACATGAAAAAATAAGAAATATTGTTGACTTGACAACTTCATCAATCATTTATTGACTGTTCTAAATATTTGCTAAGAATTGCAAACAAAGCTACATGTCAAGAAAACTCTCATGCATACATTAAACCAATATTTTTGAAAATTTGAAGTAAACAGCCCGATAAATTGAAATAGGAGAGTAAGAAAAGTCGAGCAGTATGCCTAAATATATATGCCTGAAAAAACAAAAAAATGATGTGACTGAAATAAAAAGCCATAAACACAGGAGTCCTTGCCTACCTGTCAGTCAAAGTTCCAGCTGGTATATACCTACATACAGACTGTATTACAATGTCTTAGACTGGGAACTCTGTGTAAAGCATATGTCACAGGATACAAGAACATCATTTCCCCATTTATCAAACAAACTCCTTAGCTTGGTGGCACACATGCAATCTAATGTCAGGTGTGAAAACGTATAACTAGAGATTAAGTTATTGTACACACAGGTAAAATGTCAAAGAATTGAGAAAATATATCTGAATCAAAAGTTCTCTGGGATGTGCTAGCTTACTTCATACAGGCACATTAAGGAAGATTATGCAATTTTTAAATTTAACTTCTCATAGCATTCAAACAGTTGTGGTAACTTAAAGAAATGTTATATGCATATTTATCACTGAAAGGTACACATATTTATTTATACTTGTACTTGAATATTCTATATACTATCGACCAGTATGGCAATCCGTTTAGTTTATATTAGAAATTATCTAAATTTTTGCAGTGGACATATTGGATATAAAACTTCTTCCTTAAAAAATATAGCAGTCAGGGAACCTGAGAAGTCTTAGATGTTCCCATTTCAAGTCCACAAGAAAATAAGAATCTATTTCACCCTTTATTTCAACATGCAAAGCTAAAGTTAATTTGCACACTTTTGTTTAAAAAAAATAAAACTCTAGAGTTAAAAACATCATTGGGCAACCAAAAAATGCTCTTTTGAAAAAGAATAAAAAATGTTAGCAAATCTTTTTAAGAAAAATACAGACCCAATTCTTTACCTATTAAAAAAGATATTTCATTATTTTCATGATATGACATAATCTCTTGGAAACAGTGATATTCAAATCTTAATTCAAAATTTTATTAAAAAATAGAATGAAAATTTAATAATAACTACCCTGACAGGGATTTTACTTCTTTTCTTTGTATCCAAGCTCAATGCACATTGCTCGATCTCCATCACTCTATTATAATCCTTAACTTAAAACCATCTGCATTGAATTCCTTATAGATTACAATGTAAAAATTGTCACTTCTCAACCTCAAAAATGTCTTTGGCCTGAGTCCAGTTCAAAGATAAGCAAAGTTTCAAAAGTTTATCCAAAAGAACAAACAGAAATCTGCCCTCTTCAGATAATCCTGCATTTGTGGATCTAGATTTGTAATAGTAGCACGTCTCTCTTCAACGACTTTGTATATCAGTCATATAGGTTCTTCTATTCTAAATGAGGCTCAATACAAAACACTTGTAGCTTTTTAAAGGCTATATATCGAACCAAAATATTATCATTCACTCCAAACATATGTGGTATTGAACTTCTGCATGTAGATAAAAGGGTGTAATGTGACACCCTATTGAGCACCTAGCTATAACAGTCTACAACCAATGAAACTTCCGTGCAAAGAAAACCCATCAAATATTGCTATTTCTTGTCAACAGCTTGTATTTTATATTCAATTTGATAGTAAAATATTCTCTTCTTGCGTCTCTTCTTTCGAGTGAATCAGACTGAGACTCAGTTCCATTCAGAAACCCCAGGGATATTAGAGTCAAACTGAATATGCTTGTTTGGTCATAATATTGGATTATGAGCTTTTAGTTTCAAAATCTCTTCTCAAAAGGGGGTTAAAGAATTTAACATTTTTGATAAGACTTTGTCCCCCCAGTTAAAACCACTGGTCTTTAAACTTTGCAAAGGGAAAGTTTAGTTGACAAATATTTTATCTCTACAACAAATCAAATAAACATGCACAATTTTACTCCCAGATTGTGACAGATTGTTTTGTTCATTTTATGTCAACTTGGTTAGAGGTTTACCATAGTGCTGACAAGAGAATGGAAATTGCTCAGAGATTGGGTCTTTCAAACTCTTCAATAGTGCATGGTTTTCCATAACACTGTGTGATATAAAAGCGAATAACTCTATCAATTTTTGTATAGAACTTAACTAGTCATGGAGAAATCTTCAAATAATGATTGATAAATCTAAAGGTGTGTAAATAAAAGTGATAATACACAATTCCTCAGTTGTCAGGCTTCTTAATATTTTGGTTTATGACCTACAGAATAAACCACAGACAACTGCTTAGGGATAGATGTGGGTTTTTTTATTGCAACTTATCATATTTTAACTTTTATTTCTTTAATATACCGGTAGCAACAAATTCAAACAATTTAAAAATGTAAAAATTGAGTGGCACAGCAAACAGCAGTTAATGAAATCACAATGTATATTTTATATATTCATAGAATGCTGGGGATTACAGCATCCTGTCCACTCATAAATGCTTTTTAATGGTTTTTAATGAATTATGTACAATTAACATTTCTTAGCAGAGAATAGTTAGCATTACAGCTTTTTAATGGTTTTTAATTCAATACTGAATTTTTTTCCATGTACAATTAACATTTCTTTTTAATTTGTGGGTAGAATAGTTTAAGCATTACAGTAAATTACATGTATATAAAGTATGATCCAAAATTTTATTATTATGTAAATAATAAAAAAGTGTTGTTGTTGACGCAATATTCAGATCAAAACAACAAATAATTTACATACCTTAACTTTCTCATTAATAAGCCAACAAAAATGTTCAACTTCAAATCAATGATCAAAACTATGCTGCCCAAACAAGTGTATACCTACCCAAATCTCTCCAGCAAGTCCATTCACACAAAAAGTTTGAAAGTGAGGAAAGATTAATTGAAACGTTATTGAATATGCTCTTGCCAACTGGGTCTTTTACTCAATAAAATTAAATGCTTGATACAATGGCCAGAATAATGTATGCAAAGACTATAATTCCATTTTCTTTTGTGTTTTTAAAAGGCATAGAAGTGCCATTGTCTATTTAATTGTTTGCGAACCTTCCAATCAGGAGAATGCGCGTAATTTTGTCCCAACCAGGAGAAATGCCAAATTTGGTCAAAATCAGTACAACGCAAATATGTGGTTGTTTGGGTGTTATTTTATCTCTACAATGATCCTTTTTCTTAAGTCTGTTGAAAAGTATTTGAACCTTACACCTACAGTACCGGCATAACAAAAGAAAAAAAATACTGGATGGATACATGTTATGCTTAAAAAGACAAGATAGCCCATCTCAAGAACTTTGAAAAAGAAAAAAAAACATCAGATAAAAATACGGGCTATATAACCTTACTATGAAAAGAATAAGTCTTCAAGAAAAGAAGCTGCAAAAAACTGATATACAAGAAAACGGTCCCATTTTCCCACAAATATAATTGCAAAAGCAAAAAATAAAAAAGATGACAGATCTGAACAAATTCAATGTATGGTCTGCATTGCAAGTAGAAAAGATATCTAGGGCAAAATAGATAATAAATTAAATGGAAGTCTATACCTACAGAAGAGTGGGCATATCTAACTAAATCTCTAATTCTGGCTACGGGCATCTTAAGTGTTGCTATGAGAGAAACAAGCATTGTCCTATTTCTTCAGACATTGTTTGATAAAATGTCCATTCCACACTTTAAATCCAGGTTTTTTATTTCTTTCTTTTTCCCCCTTTTACCTCAGGTGCAAAAGTTTATTAAAATCTTAAAAAGATTTATTTTCAAAATTTTAAAATAGACTCTCTGTCTATAAATTACTAAAAAAGACATTTATAAAATTTAAATTTGTAAGTTATATAATAAGTGGATACTATCCTGGCATAATGGAAGACAGAGGGGATAGATGTGTCTAACCTGGCTCTGTTTATAAGCTTGATCAGATTAAAGGGGTCATATTTTCAATGAAAAAAAAAAAATTCTATATATAAATGACAAGAGAAATAAAGTCTGTAAATACAGACATAAGGCTTAAATACATCATTATAATATAGATCACACTGTAAGCTATTTGCTTTTCTGCAATTTAAATCTAGACAAGCTGTTTGCACACATCTTGCATAAAAATCTGGCATTTGATTGTAAGACATTTTATCTGTTATTCTTTTGTTCACTGGTTGGTTTCAGTGAAAATCATCAACAACCATAAAATAAATAAATAAAATATCTATAATTTGATAATGAAGACTTTCTTGGACCATAAGAATGGAAACTGAAACAAAGCATTTAGTACTACACTTTGCAATTAATATCTATAAAATCAGAAAATAGTAGCAGTACATTCTAAAAAGTAAAATCCTTTTTTAAAACTGCTACATGTTATGCCAGTTTCCACAAGATGAAAAGAGAGACATGTCTTATTGCCAAACAAAGATGCACTCCACTATCTGTTCATTTGAAGTACATACCCTTGTAACCTGAAGTAGTCAAAAAGAGATAAAGTACTTCACTACAATCCAATACACATGTACTTACAAACACTAGCTGTCCACCCGACTCCTGGTTCAGTTTTTGGAATTCTGCTTTGAGGTCCACCAGTTTCCGGTGCAGGTCATGGAATTTCTGGTCACTGAGGGCAGCCAGTTTATTCTGGCACCAGTTCAGACCCATCCACGGGTCACTGTCGTCCGAGACTGTAAATACACAACAGTGGGGTAATAATACAAGACAACTTACAACATGATCAAAGACAAGGTCAACAGAGACAACATGGAATAATATATTGATACTTTTTTTTCTAACATGTATTACACAAAATGATTTTCATTCCCTATGTATTAACTACTGTAAAACAAGCTCAATAGCAAACACACTTATAATCAATTGACAATTAAAGCAAAGTGATTTTCATTTTAAACTTAACTGATATACCAAATTACACTTAAAACAAAGCAAAATCTGTCATCCCTTGCTTTGTGTAATAAGTGAGTTTTTACTATAACAACTAAATTCCACACCTTCTACAGTTTTAAACACTGGATCCTCCCCCTGGTTTGTCATCTCGTCTGTAGCTGACATTGAGGTTGACTCTTCGTCTGACCAGGATCCAAGAAATTTTTCCCCAAACTCGTGAAGACTCTCCAGGAAAGCCTGAGTCTCCGGTGGGTGCTTTGTATTGTTGTTGTTGAGTGAGTTTGGACTCAGAAATAAGTGTGAGCCCGAGACAGAACTGTGATGGAGGGACTCGGTCTCGAATGGATTGAATGGCAGATGGACCTCGGGCTCCTCCCCCTCAGATAAATTACTCTTCTTTCTCTCCTCTGTAAAATATATCAGCCACAAAAAAAGGTAGTAAATAGAAGGAGCAAATGCTAAGGAAAGAAAACCAAAACAACCAACTAAACTACAATTCTTGTAAAAAAAAAAAATGGATACTACAGTAAAACTCGGTTATAACAAAGTCACAAAAAATTACTTTGCTAAAATTTGTTATATCCGTAAAATCAAATTTATATAGCTGGGGATCCAAGATAACTTCGCTATATCCGTGATTTCACATTGTCTGTGTTTGTACTAAACGAGTTTTACTGTATTGATCTTTTGATCAAACTGAATAAAAATTCCATCAACTTTAAAATTTTGGAGAGACAGTAAATTTTTTGTATTAAACTATGGCTCTACATGATCACGGAATAAAATAACAAACCTTTTCTTTGTTCGTACAGTTGATGGAATGGATCAGGATCTTTGGTAGCCTTTGTGTGTTGACTTCCTAACCTCTGCAAACATTCAAATAGAGTAAGCCATGAATTTATATCTGATATATACTTAACTGAGCAAAAACCATTTTTAAGGTTTCAAAAATCATACTATGCTGCCTAAATGAATTGTTTTAACTAACAAATATAGCAAATATTGAAATATTTTTAAACAATGATTGCAAAATACAACACAGTGTTCCAATAGTAATCAAAATTACCTACTGCACAAGCAACTTGAGAGTTTTACAATTGTAAATTCCTTGTAATAAGATTAGCAGTTTTAATGGGCATGCAGTGGTTTATAAGCATTTGGAGTAACTTCTTCAAGGTATGCCAAGTAAGACCTAATTACTGTATTTAGGGAGACCAATTTAAGTTCAGGAGTCAAAAGTCAAGTTTAATCACCTTAGAAGTAAACACTACAAGTGTTAAGGATAATTTGGAATCTACCTTAGAAATTAGGCAGACAAAAATGTTTTCAGATTTAACTAATGATTTGTCCCTTCTTGGGTTACATTTATATTGAGAACCCTTGAATTGGCATAGGTAATCTCCCATTCTTGGAGCTAGACTTTAACAAATTACTGTTGTAGTTTAAGTTTCCTTTAAAGGCATTTTACTTTTTTAAAATACAGGAAAGGTTTATTTAACAAAAAGAAAGATATTTTTGCCATCAAGAGCTGTTCTGACATTGAAGTCACCTTTGACCTCTCACCTTATTGAGTTCGTCCAGTTCGTTTTTCAACAGACGATGTTCCACCTGTAACTTCTGCTCTCCCAGAATCACCTGAACTGTTTCCTGTCTGATCTGCTCATGTTCTTTCTTTAACCTGCAAAGAAAACATACCAAGAATTCTACAGAAAATTTGAACTTATTTAACGATGCATGAAATTGTAGACTCGAATGCATCTAAATATAATTTTGCTAAGTAGTGGAGGAATTTCATATCGATGCTTTTGCCTAAGGTACCATCCCCCCTCCCCCTAAAAAGGTAATGTATTTCCTTACCACCACATTTTTAAAAAATCAATATCATATTACATAACCACTTAACTCAATATACCTTGCAACTATTTCTTCTAGTTTCTCCAAATTATCCTTGTCAGTTTGAACAAGATGGTTGATTTCTTCTTCACTTAGTGGGTTATTGTTGTTACTTTTCAGACAAGTGACCTAAAAAAATTACAAAGATTCATAAAAAATGGCTTAGACACAAATGGAATCAATGTATTCTTAATAATGCATTAAAATCTGTAGTAGGTTGACTTGCATGTACAAGTTACTCTCCAAATATATTACAGAAAAGAAATCAAACTGAAGAAAAAAGAATCACATGAGAACCAATTTTGAAACATGCATGTAAATGATAAAAAAATCCATACCAATTGTTCTTGAAGTCGTTTCTTTTCTTTCACCAGCTCTAGTCTTTGACTTTCTCTCTGGATTTGTACTTTTCGCTTTTCCTGTTTAAAAACATTGTAAAATCAGGCACTTCATGCCCTTCAAATGTCATATAAGTTTTCAAAGAGATTGTAAATCTTTGGTCAAAACAAATATGTCATTTTGTCTTCAAATAATATCTACTTCAGAGGGGGACTTGCAACATTGGTGATAATATGAATAGCTTGTCTATTCTGTAAGAGCTTTATAGCCAAAGTCAATAGTTAGAAGTTAAATGACCATCTGGGAACATTAAGCCATATTTGTTTTTACCCACTGAGAGGCAAAGTACAATGTTCAAATATGTAGAGAAAACTTGGAACAGCTCGTGGTTCAAAGACATATTTTACCCAGCCATGTTCAAACAAAAAACTCTTTCGAGGGACAATAAGATTTTCATCAAAGGTCAAGACCCTATAAATAGTTCTATGGGGATCACTTGGTCTAACATTACTGGGACCACAGTTTGATGGATAAGGGCATTGGATCAGAGCTCCCTATGTATGACATCTGAAAACAATTACAAGTTTCTCTGGATTTTTATGGTATCTGTACACATTTTATTATTTGATTTGGTTAGAAAACTTTACTTGCCTCCCATACCCTTCACACTTTGGAACATTTATGGATACCAAGAGTACTACATCAATCTTTAGAAACAAAACCCCTAAAACTCCATTTAGTCTACCATAATTAATGTCATTGCTAAAAGCTAGTTAAAGTACATATTTTCCCTTAATTCATTTCTATTTTATATAGTTAATTTTTGAAATTTTCAAAATGGATCTTCACTAAATTTTACTAACTCAGATGATGTCCCTTTGAAAAAAGTAGACACTATGGTCATGGCTTTTTGCTCCTTTTTTAAAAATCAGTTTAGTCAACTGTTCTAGCATGCAAATCTGTTTAATTAAAGATGGCTAACTCTGAACAATGGGTTGCTTATAAGGACCAAAGTTGTTATGTTTTTCATACCTTCAACTGCATAAGCCTTTGCTTGTGCTTTTCATATTCTTCAATTCTGAAAATTACAAAAATTTATGCATTATATAAAGTGCTCATTAAGGAATAATGATATAAACAGTGTGAACAAAAGTGACACCAAACCTACTGGTAATGAACATTTATCATCTATAAAATCCGATCTCTCACCATTCAATATAAATTACCGATTCAAAATGTAACACTAAATTTGAATTTTTTTAAAAATTTATCATGCCAAAAATATCAATTGTTGTGATAGAATTATGCTGAATAATGGATGTCACTGCAGAATATAAAATTACAAACTGCTGCAAAATAAAACGTAAACCTACCTAGTTTTTCGGGCCAAAAGTGAATTTGGAGAAACCTTCTGAGGAACCACATTAAATGGATTTACAATACCATCCAAGGAATTTCCTGCAAGATATACAAAACATGCCAATTAATGATTCACCCAAATCTGCACAAACTTGAATATTTTTTTTAGTTTGTCAATAAAAACAAACTGCATATATCTGTCCTGTGTCATGAACCCCTCTATTTAATTCTAATGAAATGTTTGATGCCTTTGTTTGATAAAGGGTTTAAACATTTAATGGAGGCAGATTCTGCAATGATAAGCCTCAAATCCAACTATTTATAATGTGTAAGACTTTAAACTCTGGACAATGAAAATTGATAAATTGTGATGAAACAACATCGAAGCGTAAATTTATATCATGTTAGCAACTGAAAATCATTAAGGCATTCATTTACCTGATAAATGATTTGAAAATTACTTAAGAATGAATGTCTATATAAACAAAATTTATTTTTTGAAGAAAAATCTTTTTAATTTTTAATTTTGACATATTTAATAAATTCTAATTGATGTTTTTTTTTTCTAAATTTACAGAAAACCGGTACATATTTTTTATGATGTAAAAAAATCCATTTAGTGCCAAAGTAAAAAGTTTGATAGCTTATCCACTATAAATATTTTTTTCTACTTACAAAAAAATCAATAATCACAAAAAACCAAAGGATAAATTCTTACCAAATTTTCATAAAACTGAATTCTAATAATGATCCCACTAAACCTTGAGTTACTTTTATCTAGTGAAAATCTATAACCCCCTGAAAGTATTGATTATGAATTTCCATTCATTGGATTAATTTGTCAATACGTTTACATCAAGCTAGACATAACCAATAATGCTGTCAAAGTGATTAGTTAGATAACTTATAGGGCCTGCTTCTCTCTTCATTTACCATTTTATGGCATTACAATGAATAAAGTACCAAGGATTTCCTTAAACATTATTTGTTGTACATATGTATGTGTGATTGTATTGATTCAAGGAGTTTTCTAATAATCAATATACCCTGGTACATGTAGCTTGAATGTTTTGTCCATGTTTATACATTCAAATCAATATCAACTCTTTTTGAAAATAATTATTATATTTGAAGTAAAAGTTTTAGAATTTTAGTTTTTTAAAAATGTGTAAGGGTTTGAAGACAATTTAAACTGAGATAAACTTATTTTAAATTTCCCCCAAATTCACTTCATATTCCGCATTTGTTTCTCTTATATTGGTGTATATACTACAAGTGTATATGCATATGTGTACGTCTGAGTTGTAACTTCACAATGACAAAATGTTAGAGAGAACATTTAAAATGGTTTAAAAATGCAAGTTTTATATCTTTCTTTTTTCTTTTTGGCACCTGAGTGTAACTTTTTGCACTGTGAAACACAGAAAAAAAAGCAATGACATTAATTAGCAATTTGGTAGAATTTATAAGAAATCTGATAAAATATAAAGGTTCCTGCAGTCTGATTAAAATCAAAGTTTATTCCATTAACTGCTTTATTCTGATGGACACTTGACAAATATAATAAATGAGCTAGTGAAAAGTGAGATTTTAATCAGACTGAGGTCAGAGCAACACATATAGACTTTATTGACAGAAATAATAACTAACCACTTTTTAAATATCTAAGGAGGTGGCAGGCAACAAGCCATTCATCACTGCTCAACTGTCCATCTCTATTTAGGTCACTCCAATCCCAAACCGAGGCCAGCTTCTCCGATTCCAGCTTAGACTCCTTGAAAATTTCAACTGCATCTTCACCTGTTATTGAAGAAAATAACCATATTATTTAATTTCCTTTTTAAGAATCAAGAAGATGGTATACTACAAATCATTAAATTTTCTATTTTTGAGAGATGTGCATTTGCCTCCAATAAGCATGCATGGGTTTTATTAAATGGCCAAATTATTTTTTCTATCTACTATTGAAACTTGATTTTCACAATGTTTAAAATTTTATGATCTCCAGATCATTAATTTTTCTTCTATCGTTGGAATTTGACATCTAGGGGAAAATTTAAACTCCTAAGAGTAGGGTTCTTAAAGACTATGTGTCTACTTTACACAGTCATTCATGGCTTATGTGTAGGATGATGTTTTAATTCAATATTGAACCAACTTAGATATTCTCACTCATGGATTTGTCAAAATATTTTTAGACAAAGAAAAGTAATCACACAATGAAGTGTAAATACATCAAATTACTAGTACAAGAAAATATCTCCTTAGGAAATATTATTCAACACATACAATTTCACACTAGTCTATGTTTAAAGCTTAATTGACTTAAAGTGTTAAATGCTTGCTTATCGTGAATTTTTGGATGTCTAGACCATTTTATTACCTCCAGACAATAACTGTTAAGTTATCCGATAGACCACACTATTAAGGGTTAAGATAGAAGTATCTTCTTTTGGGGATTTTTGAAGATTAATACTCTCAATTGCTTTTTATAAAAAGCATGATTGGAGGGTTCATGGTAATTCTTTTTTTTTTCTGGTAGTGTTTTTCTTAATTACTTTTTCTCTTTTTTTTTTTGTTATATATGGTGGCCAATGACTAGTTCTGCAAAGGGTCTAAAAAAGATAATGGATTGTCTTCCAAAAAGAGGATAATTTACTAAACTTTCAATCTTCTATTAAGAATTATTATAATGAAAGAAAAAGTGAGCTAGCTCACATACCCCACGCTCCCCCATAACTTGACGGTGAAACACATTTAATGAAAGGCACAGCGGTTTATGAGGAATTGCGCTGACAAACTGTTCATCTCTATATTCAAGGTGTGGCCAAATGCCTAGTGAAAAGTGCGGAAATTCCCGAAAAAATAAAGGAATCGGAATTTCCTTGTAATATGCACATCTACCTATTGTGTCCTAAATATCTGCAAAGTTTGACGAAATTCTGCGCAGCGGTTTATGAGGAGTTGCACTGATAAACTGTTCATCTCTATATTCAAGGTATGGCCAAATGCCTTAGTTAAAAGTTCGGAAATTCCCGGAAAAATAAAGGAATCGGAATTACCTGGTAATATGCACATCTACACATTGTGTCCTAAATATCTGCAAAGTTTGACGAAATTCTGTGCAGCGGTTTATGAGGAGTTGCGCTGACAAACTGTTCATCTCTATATTCAAGGTATGGCCAAATGTCTAAGTTAAAAGTGCGGAAATTCCCGTAAAAAATAAAGGAATCGGAATTTCCTGGTAATATGCACATCTACACATTGTGTTCTAAATACCTGCAAAGTTTGACGAAATTCTGTGCAGCCGTTTATGAGGAGTTGTGCTGACAAACTGTTCATCTCTATATTCAAGGTATGGACAAATGTCTAAGTTAAAAGTCTTTAAATTTGGTAATGGAATCGGAATTTCCTGGTAATATGCACATCTACATATTGTGTCCTGTATATCTGCAAAGTTTGACGAAATTCTGCGCAGCGGTTTATGAGGAGTTGTGCTGACAAACTGTTCATTTCTATATTCAAGGTATGCCCAAATGCCTAAGTTAAAAAGTGCGGAAATTCCCGGAAAAATAAAGGAATCGGAATTACCTGGTAATATGCACATCTACACATTGTGTCCTAAATATTTGCAAAGTTTGACGAAATTCTGCGCAGCGGTTTATGAGGAGTTGCGCTGACAAACAGTTCATCTCTATATATATGGCCAAATGCCTAAGTTAAAAGTGCTTCCCTTAAAAAATAAAGGAATAATTTCCTGGTAATATGCACATCTACACATTGTGTTCTAAATACCTGCAAAGTTTGACGAAATTCTGTGCAGCGGTTTATGAGGAGTTGTGCTGACAAACTGTTCATCTCTATATTCAAGGTATGGACAAATGTCTAAGTTAAAAGTGCGGAAATTCCCGGAAAAAATAAGGGAATCGGAATTTCCTGGTAATATGCACATCTACATATTGTGTCCTAAATATCTGCAAAGTTTGACGAAATTCTGTGCAGCGGTTTATGAGGAGTTGTGCTGACAAACTGTTCATTTCTATATTCAAGGTATGGCCAAATGCCTAAGTTAAAAAGTGCGGAAATTCCCGCAAAAATAATGGAATCGGAATTTCCTGGTAATATGCACATCTACACATTGTGTCCTAAATACCTGCAAAGTTTTTCTGTGCAGCGGTTTATGAGGAGTTGCGTGACAAATGAAAGAAAAAGTGAGCTAAATACCCCACGCTCCCCCAAAACTTGACGGGGAAACACATAATGAAAGGCACAGTGCACTTTAAATATATAGTATAGATCAAAAAGGGCAGTAATTGCAAAAAAAATCTTTACATCAAAATGTCTTACATATGAGGACATTTTAATGTGGAATGAAGTTTCTAGATAAGTAATGGAATAAAAATTTCTTGGCATTATACAAATCCAAACATTAATTTGAAGTGGTGGTGGGGGGGGGGGGGGGGGGGGGGGGGGGAGAAATTTTCTTGAATAATAGGCAAAACTCTTTGGGATATAAGAAACTATGAACAACAGTTTAAGAGGAGTGGTGCTAACAAACTGTTCATCTCTATATTCTAAATATGGCCAAAAAGTCTAAGTTGGAAAGTGTGGAAATTCCTGGAAAAATAAAGGAATCGGAATTTCCTGGTAATATGTACATCAACATATTGTGTCCTAAATATCGACAAAGTTTGACGAAATTCTGTGCAGCGGTTTATGAGGAGTTGCGCTGACAAACTGTTCATCTCTATGTTCAAGGTATGGCCAAATGCCTAAGTTATATGCAGCGGTTTATGAGGAGTTGCGCTGACAAACTGTTCATCTCTATGTTCAAGGTATGGCCAAATGCCTAAGTTAAAAAGTGCTACATTCTAACGGAATCGAATTTCCTGGTAATATGCACATCTCTCATTGTGTCCTAAGTACCTGCAAAGTTTGACGAAATTCTGTGCAGCGGTTTATGAGGAGTTGCGCTGACAATCTGTTCATCTGTATATTCAAGGTATGGCCAAATGCCTAAGTTAAAAAGTGAGGAAATTCCTGGAAAAATAACGGAATCGGAATTTCCTGGTAATATGCATATCTACACATTGTGTCCTAAATACCTGCAAAGTTTGACGAAATTCTGTGCAGCGGTTTATGAGGAGTTGCGCTGACAAACTGTTCATCTCTATATTCAAGGTATGGCCAAATGCCTAAGTTAAAAAGTGCGGAAATTCAGAAATAATGGAATGGAATTTCCTAGTAATATGCACATCTACACATTGTGTCCTAAATACCTGCAAAGTTTGACGAAATTCTGTCCAGCGGTTTATGAGGAGTTGCGCTGACAAAAAAAAGAGGACTGACTGACGGACTGACTGACTGACTGACCGACTGACTGACTGACTGACTGACTGACGGACGGGTCAAAAACATTATACCTCCCGCAACTAGTTGATTAAAAAGAGGACTGACTGACAGACTTTGATGACTAATTTCCATTTCTTATCAGTCAAAAACATTATACCTCCCGCAACTAGTTGCGTGGGGTATAAATATCCATAAATTTCACAATGATTGCAATTCATAGGACTACAACAATTATTAAGGTAACCCTTTTTTTTTCAACCTTTGACCTTACCAGTAATAAACCCCTTTCCTGATTGGTCATATTTCTGGAACACTTTGTTGTACGCCTCCTTTTCCGAGGCTGAGGGGACCTCAACTGGCACCTCAGCTTGTTCTGTGACAGTGACGTTCTCTGGTAAAACTTTTGGAACCAGTCTTCCTCTGAGAACTCCATTGATGAGATGCACAGCTACCATGAACTCACCAACATTTAAAAGGTTGTCATTATTGACGTCTGCTAGATTCCTGACAAAGAAAAAAGAGAGTTATTTCCCTTTGACCATTAAAAGATACCTGACTATTAAGCAATTGTAATAATTGATGAATTCTTTAAAATTACACAATTTGTTTCACTCTCTTTTAATAGCAATCTTAAAATATGCCTTTAAATGTTGTGTTGAGTAATTATCTTTTATCTAAGTTTCAAATGTTCACAGTAATTAGATCAAATTCTTTCAGAACAGTTAAAGTTTCTGTGGATAAGACTAGCTCTGTTGACGCGAGGCCAAGAGAAGTCATCCACTTTTGGAAGGATCAGTGAGGGATTGGCAGTTCTACAATAGCCTTCACAGATCCTATTTAAGGTTTAGCAAGGTGGCCCATTCTCCATGAATGAATCCCAATATATATGTCAATACTGCCATTTAAAAACCCTCTACCTTACTAAAATATTTGTATATTTAACGGATATCAGCCTGCAATTTTTACCATTATAAGACTCAAATAGTCAACACTCAGTACAGATTTTAAAGTGAGATAAATGATCAAATATTTAGTAGAACTGTTGATAATACACCTTCAAAAATAAGTGGGTAAACAGTAATTGCTTGTTAGAATTATTTAAAGTTTGCGTGAAGTTGACTAATTATAACAAATATTTAAATCTTGAAATGCAAGATCTTGAGCATCACCACCATGTGAAACTAGAAGTAGGACTTTTCCAAACAACCAGGTTTATATCTCTTGGTACAGTACTGGCATTTTTAGAGAGAAAAGTCTGTGTCAACATTAAACAGATATAAAAAACAGAGGCCACTTGTTCATTGCTAGGTACTGGACAAATACATTAAACAAGAAAACTTTAAAGTTGGTCCATAAAATATCTCACAGGACAGTAATAACTGGATACGTGTCAATAACAGAAATCAATAAAACCTCCTGCAGCAATCTGTCCCCGGAAAACTTCATTCTTTATAAATGAAGAGACTTGTGCAAGAATTGACTTTGAGTATGGTACATAAGTTAGTTTGCAATTCTTCTAATCCTTGTTGCACGGCACTGCATGCTCTAATGTCTTTTTAGAAGACACTGTTAAAGTGGTCCTTTAGTTCAATCATTCCTTAATCACTATATTAACCTTTAAGTGAAGTAATTTTAAAAGTGTCCAGGAAACAAGATGATTGTTTTTCCACAGCAGAATTGCATGGTTATCAATAAAGATTATTAAGACTTTAAGGTTCAATCTTTTTTGCCAGACTTTATATAAAATTGATCTTAATTCTTGTGAAGGTTTCAAAGAATCTGAAAGCAGATAACATCCAAATCTATATAACATGCTATAATATTTTCATTAACATCTCACTCATATACATGTGCAAACAAGAAGGACCCCAGCAACAGTTTGCCACACATCTTCATGATCAACACCTTACTTCAAATACAGCAAGGACAAGGGGACTTTTTACCGAACACAGAAAAACAACAAAAAAGGTTCTGTGAACTTCTATCTATAACAAACTGACATATATTGTGTCATCAATAAGTTCAAATAAAAAGTTAAATGGGTCTTGGGAATAACTGATATAATGAAGTGATTTTTGCAGTTAGTCTATTGATATCACATATAACCGGGTCATTAAATATTACAGAGATATAGGAACCCATTAGTTCAGAAAATTCTCAGGCTCAATACCTTATGCCCTGGTTAAATTTTAATGTGTTTCTTTCAGTAGATATCTATCCTAATGGGGAAATTACTTTCAATCACACACCTTTCTACTTCCAGTGAATCAAGAAGGTCACACACCAAGATGTATGGCCATTTGTTACACACCTGGGTAATGGGTTCATTGTAGAAAAGACTGAATTTTCATGAAAATTAATAAGGCTCTATTTATGAAACGGGCCTTAACATAAGCCTTTTATAGCATAAATTAATCAATTTGGACTAAATCGAGCCATTGACAATTACCTAGACTGAGAAACTAATGGAGAGGCCACAGAGAACTTTCTATATTGAGGTAGCTGCGATGTATGGAGGAATTGACACTTGCGACCCTTTGGCTCTTTATCATTTTCCTTCAGATACTGAACCATAAAGAACAGGAAGTTTCTATGATAAAGGTATCCAAAATCTTTTCTGCCTCAGACCATTAAGTTCCCCCTGCCCAATAAGTCAATTATGTGTGTGTAGATAAAATCTATCAGGACTTTGATTATTAATGGGAAATCTACACTGGTTTCTAATCAATGGCCACATACCTGTGTTATACAGGCAGCTTAACGGTATCGTACATCCTCATAGTGGAGACAGATGACACATCGTCATAAAAAAATCAATTATATACAGGAATATAAACTGTCATGTAAAATACTTAACTAATACTAGCTACTTCATGAAATTTTAAATGTACATGTATGTTACCCTTGATTTCATTGAAAAAAAAATTCCAAAATCATACAACCCAATCTGAAACACTCTCAATGGTAACTGAAGCATCTACCATCATTTTAACCAATTAACCTAATCCACAAAGTATTCTCATTTTGCTGTATTTTTTCATTCAACAACGTCTTAAGGATTAAAGATACATGTATTTACGGAATAACTGTCATTTTTTTTGGGGTTTCATGATGTGATCAATCGTGTAGTTTGCGTGATAATTTGCATAAATGCTGAAGGCAAACGTTTATGCATAAAATTATCACACAAGCCAATCGATTGATCATGATCGTCATGAAACCAAAAATTTGACAGTTATTCCTTAAATTTACTTGCTCTTGATTCCACCAATCCATGTGCTCTAAGCCCCACTTCTGTCTCTAATTGTCCCGCCCCGCATGGGATTTTTTTTAACCTTGCCTATCGATGAACCAGTAGATTTATGTAGAAATAAAGTACATTTACTAATTGTAATTTTATCTTGGACAAAGACATTGGAAATGTTAATATAAGAAAATACAAAGCTTTTAATAAACTGAAGCAATAGATGGGTTAACTGGCCACAAAATCACTACACCAAGAAAATCAGAACCTTTAAGGTGAAAATAAAATCAGGAAATAAAATCAAATCAAATATGGTCTCTTTTTCCACCCAATGCTACTGTCAGAGTTTTAAACAGACATTAACAAAATTTTTTCTTTTCCCTTTTAATTGAGCAAATTGAACAACAGGTGTGGATTCTATATTTGGCCAATACCGATGCAGGTTATTTCATACCCTAGCCTACAGACATTGCGTCCCACTTCCATTGACAAAAAACCTGGATCGATCCACTGGATGACATCTCTGTCAGATAACCTAGTGAACCCAGGAACATCATTCTCTTTCCAATCACTGGGTAAGATTTAAAGTACTCGACAAGTCGGGGTGCAGGTCTGCACCAACAAGGTGTGACAAAAGTTGATAACATCTATACATATTGTATCACACTGTCTAGAGATCTTCTTTAGTTCATCCTTTTATTAAGGCTTTCAATGTAGATAATATAACATTTTTTCCCCTTGATACATTAGACACTTGCTCTAACTGAACACCATTAAGTTACATTGCTGTGTACTCAGAAAGATGGTTATTTGCAAATGAAGGTGATAAATGCCAAATATTATAAAGCTTGATAGATTTGGAAGAAATTGAAAGAATTCAGAGGTTTCCAACAAATAGTTCAATTTCTGGACTTTTGACTTGTGTGTGTGTGTGTGAGGGGGGGGGGGGGCTCAAAAACCAAAGTGTACATGGGCTAAACACAGGGAAAAAACAAACTTGGAATGACCTTATTTCTAGCAAGTCTCAAATTTCTGGTTTGAAACACAGAACCTACAAAAGCATTAAGTGACTCATATACAATAAAATGCTATTTAATGAAAGAGAATTGAGCCTCTTGTGTTAGATGAAAATCTGGTTTTAGCACAGCAAAGTCCTTTTCTTTGGGGTGTTAACATTACCCAAACAAAAAAACACATTGAAGTTGACCACTGATATTATGAATGATTTTGTGACCATTTGAAAACAAATTGTCATAAAGTCTAAAATACAAAATGAGAAACTGAACAAAAGGGTAATAAAAAAATAATGAACACCACATTTCATGTTCAAAATTTTTAACAATAACAGAGACTGATGAATAGCATCAAAATTATTATCTTTTGGTGATATTATATACAGATATATATATATATAGACTGATGTGTATATAAAGGTGTCAAGGAATATCGGCCTCATTACAAAAAACCTATTACCATCTGAAATCTGATTGCTGTCACACTCCATTGTTAAATGTGCCGTGATGTCAATATATTTCATTTTATTACAAATAATTCAGTTATAAATGAACTTTTTTTATAGTTTTTAAGTTTTTATTTTATTTTATTTTTTTGCTCCAAAAAGAATAAGAAACAAGCATCATGATCAACAAAATGATAAATGACCATTGAGAAACAAATGGGGCAAAGTCTTGTGATTTAAATTTTGTTCAATTAAAAAGATAGGTTGGCTGTTTAAATATAAAATCTGTATGTTATATCATATGGAAAAGAGACTTCAAATACAAGGGAAATGATATATTTTATCAAGGTATTGGCTTAATAAAATAGCTTCTTTTTATGGTTTACACTTTTGTAGCTTTTACAGCAATTATGTACTTTTTAAGACACACTTAGTCCTTCAATATGATATCTAAACTGAATATACAGAAGCGCGTCCCATACATGGTAATGATTGTAATGAAAAGACGATAAAACCTTTTTGAAAATTTCCATATTTTAACCAATAATCCCCAAGTTTTCTCCTGGGTGTTAATGTGTGTGTTTTCTATATGTATGTTTGTTTACTACATTTGTATTTTAAAACAAATTGTCATCTAACACTGTGCATTCTTTATGTTTAAAAAACTTGTTTGATTCTTATAACCATGTATATATAAGTATGCTTTTTCATTTATAGCCTATCTTTTACCAATTGTCCTGGAGATAGAGGTTGGCTGTCAAGTTTAAAGATTATATGTTTGTATGTTATGTTACTCAGGTC